ATGTGGTAAAGCTGATTTTATGATAAATGGCTTGCCATACTCGGGCTGATACCAACAGAACCTGGTGACTTATTATGATTCAGTCTCTCCAGCTGCTTCTCAACTTGTCTTCCAGGCAGACAAGTGAAAGGCGGAGGGAACAGCAACATTATCTTGTGTTAACATTACAAATATTTCTTCAAGAAATCCTGTAGTAGCATTCCAACAGATGGAACAGCACACTTCTTCCTAAAGTTTCATCTTCGACCCATAAGTTCCGAAAGTCCTGAGATGCAATGTTGTTTTTTGCAGTGGTTCTGGCCTTTAAACTCTCCCGTGGATGCCATATTTGCTCAGTTTCTTATTGTTAAATCACCAACACTAACTTCTGCAAAAGAAAGGGAGATCTGCAGTGCTTAATTTTTTTTTTTTTTTTTTTCGGTTTTCTTATTGGCCTGCTGGATAAGTTATGGCTTCTTTTGGAGTAATGTTGACTTCTTTAGAGGATCCATTGCCCCATAAATATCTCTCTTTATAAATAATGGTTCTTATTGTGGTTTGCTTGCAGAACAAAGACATTAGAATAGTTTTGCAACCTCTTTCAGGCTGATGGATCTCAGTGACTTTATTTTTACATATATCATTGGATTACTCTATATCAGAGCATGAAGAATTTCACACAAACTTTTATTCAGCTTATGACAAACACGTTTTGTTTAAGGAATTTGGGTTTTCTGCAGGAAAGGCAATAATAATGGGTTTGCCCAACAGCAGTTATGATTTACAACAAGTGGAATAATTATATTTTATATATAGAAACATTGTTGGTTTGGATAGCTTTGAAAACTGCTTTTGGTGTTTACTCTGGTTTGTAGAGTTCATGACTATGTCAAAAAGCAAGAAAATGTAGAAATGTGTAAGTGGCCAAATACTTTTTAGAGTATGTCGCTTGGTAAAACAGTAGAATTTAATCAATATTGAGAAAATATAAATAGATTTTTGAGTTGGGGCTCTTTTTTAGAGCACAGTTTCTTTGAAAACCCTGAGAGAGGAAGAAGTGGTCATGGAACCACAAGACACGGTGCCTGGAAAGAGGATGACGAGGAAAAAGGAAAAGGGAAAAAGAAAGGTAGAATCTCATACTAATACACTCACACAGTGGTTTATTACACGTAGGATT